CTATCTGCCCCGCTGATGACCATATATCCAGGAACTTCCGACGATACTCCGAACGAACATTTGAGAGGGTCAGCTTCATGTAAAGCCAGAGTATGTCAAACATCTCAGCGAGATGCGAAATATGATCTGTGGCGACCTGGGATTTGACCAGCATGTCGTCCACTAGACCTCCATTGTCCTCCGACTGGTCGGAGAACATTCGGTTGACTAACCGCTGATAGGTCGCACCCGCATTCTTGAGGCCGAAGGGCATGACTTTGTAATAGTCAGCCCCGGTCCATAATGAAGGTGTGATGTTCCTATCTAGTTATACATCAGGATTGGTTGTATCCCGAGTATGCATCCATGAAGCTTAACAGCTCGTGCCCGAAGTTGCGTCAATGAGGTGGTCGATCTTGGCAGGGGGAAGCTGTCTTCGGGCAAGCTTTATTCAGGTCGCTGAAGGTATCCGCAGGTCCGCCACTTGCCATTTGGCTTTTTTACCAGGACCGGGTTAGTAACCCAGGTCGGGTAGAGAGCCTCGCGAATAGATCCATTGCGGAGAAGGTTCTCCACTTTTGATTTTTGCGGGTACCGCTCCGGATCCATTGCCCTTCTCTTTTGGCGAACTGGCTTAGCTTCACTGCTGACGTTCAGCGAGTGGCAAATAACGTTCGGGTCGATCCGGCTATATCTGATGCGACCAGGCGAACATCAATGTTCTCCTTCAAGAAGCTTACCAGCTCGGAAGCGAGCTGAGGGTTGAGACAGCTTCGTTTTTAGATTCGGCTCGGCTCTTTGGATCAACCGAAACTTGGACAGACCTCAACCGGGCCGCTCGGAGGGATTTCCTGAACTCGCGGATCTATGTTATCCTCCGCCGGACCAGGGTGTGGTCGGTCCGGCTGCGCCCTAGCAGGGCGGGGTGCACACCGCGAAATGCCCTTTCCTTTGTCGGCCATCTGGACTGATTTTACATAGCATTCGAGATGCGCTTTGTGATCGCTTACCTCCCCTCCCGTTGGAGTGGGGAACTTCATCTTGAGAGTGATAAATGTAAGTGACTGCCCTGAAAGTTCTCAGGAGAGGTCGCAAGGATTCCATTGAAGGCCGAGGACAGTCCACGACCAGAATTCTGTAACCCTAGTCACCTCGTCGTAGTCGCCGAGCGGTGACTGGTAGTTGGATCGTTCCATTGGGGATCAGGTGATCCCCTGTAAAACCGTACAGAGGCATCGAGGCTGGCTTCAGGTCGGCCTCGACCAGGTTCATTCTATCAAAAGCGGACTTGAACAGAATGTTCACAGCGCTTCCGTTGTCACAAGCATCCTGCAGACATTATGACACCCTATCAGGGGGTGATTACCAGAGCATCGTGAGGATGGTGAAAGCGAGCTGCCTCTTTTTCACAGAAGGTGATCGGTTCCTTTTTCGGGCTTTTTGGGGTCGTGCGAAGTGTTCATTACCCTAATCGGGTCGTGGCGAGCTTCGCGAGATATCTTTCCTGCGCTCTCATCGTGTTTCCGCCGAGGTGCGGACCTCCGAAGAGTTATATTACACTGTCGTACACGCTGCGATCACGGCGCTTTTCTTTTCGCTCCCCTTGGTTTTTCTTTGGGGAGTCGTCAATGTACTCCTTGAAGTGCCCTTCTTGATGAGCTCTTCGATAGCCTGCTTTAGAGTCGGCACTCATCGGTGAGATGCCCATTTTCCCGATGATAACGGCAGTACTTTTTGTTGTTTCTAGCTGTAGCAAGGGTTTTCATTGGTTCAGGCTCACCGAGTAGGCTAGCTTCCTCAGATTTGTCGAGGATCGCAGATATGGAAACATTTAACGGAGTGTATTGGGTCCCGGCGCGGTCGCGACGGGGGACAGAAGCATAGGACTTTTTCTGCTCGTAGGGGGTTTCTTCCTTTCGCTGACCGTCAATGTCTCCCTTGCGATCAGCTCGCTATTGTCTCCCAGACACTGACAATACGACTTGGACGTGCCGTGATCGCGACGGCGGAGTGCCGCCAGTGAATTCTCTATTCGGAGATACTTTTCTGCCAGGTTATAGAATCTGGTGAGGGAAATATCGTCCTCAGCCTGCAGTTCTTTCCACAGTTCGGTTTGCGGGCGAACTCCAGCTATTATAAGGGTTCGGATGGACTCTTCTGGTGCGTGAGCCACTTTGTTGAGCTCCCTGTGGAAGCGATCAATGTAAGACTGCAGGGATTCGTCTCTTTCTTGCCTTATATTGCTAAGGTAGCTCAACGGCATTGAAAATTTCCGGTTGGCTTGGAAATGCCGCAGGAATGTCGTGCTCATCTGAGGCCACGAACTGATCGATCCCGCTGGGAGCGACCTTAACCACCGTTTGGCATGAGAAGTCAGTGTCACAGCCAAACAACGGTATTTCGCAAGGTCCGAAACCTGGTGGAGCTCCATCAGGTCGTTGAACTCATATAAATGATCCTGCGGATCATAGTTTCCATCAAACGGCCGCATATCCTCCATTCTGAACCCTGGTGGAAGTGGAGTAGCTAGCACTTCAGGAGAAAATGGGGATGTAGAGGCGACCTGTGCCTGTTCGTTTCGCTGCTCCCTTAACCTGTCCAGAGCTCGCTGTAGCTCCTCAATTTGTGGTAACGGAGCCATACCTGGGTTGTTTTCACCTATGCGAGCCCGGCCTTCCCGATTGCGGTTCAGGAGAGTTCGGAGATCGGATCCCTCCTCGCCTCGGCTGGTATTCCCAACCGCGCTCGACACACGCTGACTAGAGGCGTGTGAAGGCGATGTATTGTGCGAGGCATTTTCACGACCCTCGCGGTGGTAGGAATCGCCCCGCGAGGTATGGAGGCCACCCGCATGAGAACGATCGGGATCGTTCTGCTGGTGGTGATCGGAATCATCGCGATCAGCATTTTCGGTCGGGCTTGCTTGCGACGTGGCATGGGACAGCTCGGGATCCACTTTTTCACCGAGTCTCAGCTCTGCCGACACCCTGCTCGAGGCGCCTTTTGTATTCGCTGGCCCTTGGGAGCCCGTAGGCTTACTTTTTGCCACTTGCTTGCCTTTGCGTTTACGCGCTGCAGTGCTCGAGGCACGGGCTATCCCTCTTTGCCGCGCTTTCGCACGACCTGCAGGCGTTTTTGGCGGTTGTACCGCTCCGGCTGTCACGGACGACATGCCTTGGTCCAGACAGTCCAACCTCTGGTTGACCGTCTGGAGAGTATTATCGAACCTCTCCAGGTAGCTTCGGATGGCAGGGTCCAGTTGCGAAGCTGCTGGGGTATTCCCAACAGCATTTTGCGAAACTGGAGGTATGTTGGAAGGGGTGTCCCTCTGGGCTGGGGGGACTCCTTCAGCATGTTGGTTCCCCTGCTCAGGTTCAGATTGGCGGGCCATTGTAGCTGCAAGGCCAGTAGGTCAAAGATTCTCTTGATGAAGGGTAGACGCTAAATCAGCCCTCCTTCTAGCGTCAAACTGTTGATGCTCGTTTTCGGCACCAACCAATTGTCACGTGGGTATCACTATTTGAAGTATTAATACGCGTGATAATGGATATATGAAGTGAAATAAATGCAAAGAAGACTTTTAAAGTGGTTCGGATGCTAAGGTAGCAAGTCCTACGTCCACTGATTTGTATTGATATTAGTGTGGGTCAGGTCACGAAGCGGACTGACGTACATAAGAGTTATGAAAAGTAAGTGTCTTTTTCAAGAGAGAGTGAGAGGAATTCTATGTAAAAAATGGCCGAATCCCCTTAATGGAGGGGTCTTCTTCATTTTATATCAAATTGAAGCGTGTAATCATCATTAAATCCATGGGTTGGTGTGATTGTCAGGATATAATCCGGCTTTACGTCCCATTTTCCTTTTTCCAAGCTGACTTCGCACGACTTGCTGCAGAGGATTGGACGCGTGTGAGCTCCATATTATTTTGCAGGTCTGACGTGTGCGTGTTGCCCTGACGGGAGCAGGTCACCCTTAACGTGACTTTCCCACGTCAGCCCTTTATTTTCCCGGGCATAACAAATATTCTCAAGCGACAAGACGCTTTGGAATTAACACTATATATCATCGGCTTCTTATTCTTCATTACTGTTAGGGAATAAGGAATTTAAGAGGAAGATACAACGTTTTAGTCCCTTCGACTGTTTAATGATAGATGCATGTTATTAAGTTATGAAACTCATCAACAGTATGGAAATAATTAAAAACAAGATTGACTCTACATCAAGCTGAAACTGATTAAACCAGACCGCCCAATATGAGTGCGTTTGGTTCAATATTTGTACCTATGTTTCCAATCATATTCTCTAAATATTATTCCAGAAATATTAGTATATTTTTAATTACTTTTAAACCCCTTAAGTTCATTAATTCACTAAATACCCCTAGAAAAAAGTTTAAAAATTAATAAAAACGCCCCCACTCACCTATACTTACCAGATCCCGGCAACCACTATCGGTGGTAGCCGAAATCTGTTACAACGGCTTATACTAAGCCCAGAACTGGCCGACTATTCACTGATCTGATCGTCGTTGGCTAAAACTTAGCCATAGTTGACCGAAAACGAAGGCCAAAGATAGACCTTTGCAACCGTCGACGGCCACATTTGGTCGTAGATCTGGCATTTTCCGGCCAGATTCGTGGTTACAACACAGATCTGACCGGTCTATGTCGTAACGTAATTTTTCGGCCAGATTCTGGCGGTGGTGGCCGGAATCTGGCACTGCAAGTGGTGGGAGTGTTTTTATCATTTTATATATTGGGGTGTTTAATTAAATTAGTAAACTTAGGGGTTTTTTTATAAATTTTTAAATTTTACCTTGTAATACTTTCATATTCAACTACCCAATATTATTCCCAAAATCCTATCCAAAATAATAAACTAAACGCATCTGATATTCCCAAAATTTTCATCAAGCTATTAATGGATATAGACCGAGACCAGGGAGTATCAGGATCAACAAATAACTACGTAATTTGAACATGGCAATCAAAGTGTGTTCCAGGAATTTTCCCATATAGATAAATAGGAAGAAGATGCAATTACGTAATAATTGATAGAAAATAGCATAACATATTGTATATTAATACATTAAAATTTATTAGCGAACGTAACAAACACAACAGAGTACTTCAACTATTACATATAATTCATAATCCTATGTATGTTGCGCATCAAGCATCAGACCAAGTGATATCTAATCCACCCCAGTTATCTTCTGGAACACCCAACGCTTTCCAAACAGCCTCCGAGGCATCCACTATATTGCAGTCGCATGGAGGCTGGTAAGCATGTTGTTCATCACATCCCATTGTTGAGTCACATTCATCAACAACCTTGGCCTTAACGCTGTTTTCATTACCATTGATGTTAATATACGTTAAGCAACGAGCCTTTTTATCGAACCATCCTGTTGAAAGTGCCACCACAAGCTCATCCTTGGTATGGTACTCCTCGTCACATTTTGATTCGTGACCACCATCTTGATTTTTCCCAAAGCCGTTCAGTGTCAACTTTGCATTTGTAGATCCTGAAACGGGAGGTGAATAGTCGTAAGTAGGGTACGTTTCACCTTCTTTACAGCAGTTGGAGTTATTTTCCTGGTTGCATTCTCCAGGAGGAGGGTTTTCTCCACTCATCGTGCCACTTTGCGTGCAAGTCTGAGCTTCATCACTTAAACAATCTATCACAAGAAAGAGAAAGCAAACAACAAGAACACTCAAGAACACTTGCTTCTTCATCTTCTATATCTTTTCTACCGTCTTCAATTAATTGTTGTTTCGCTGTGAAAAACTGGAATGGGGAAACGCTATATATATAGTGATGGGCAACTGTCTTCTAATGAAAAGCTCGACAATTTCGCCTTCACTAACGGCATAAGTTGCTAGGTTACCCAAAGTGGGGGATACGGAATTAAAAGAATCAACGAAAGGAACGATTAAAAGCTAGAGACAAAGTAGAGGTAAACGTTATATTACCAAGATTGATTATTGAATTCAACTTATACTAGCCTTAATTTTGTATGTATTGTTAATTTCCTTTGAGATGGGAATTGGGATTCAATTATTGCATGAGGTTACGTTTACAATACTCATTAAAGAAACCCAAGTTTATTACCATTTTGACTCTTCACCATCACAATCAATTGCGAACGCATAACGCGCATAAACCATTGGACATAATTGAAGACAACGAAAGCTGATTGCCGTGAATTGGACAATAATGATGTGGTTATAAACACATTTCTGGTATTACGTGAAGCTCTTCAATTGGTGCTAACTGGGACTCGATCGCTTACCAAACGGAGAGGCTAGAGAGGTAGAACCGACACATTTTTATGACTGATTGATTCGTATGTCCAAAGCCAAAAGGAAATAACCAAATGGGTTTCTTTCAGCTTTCCTTTCATATTTCCTGCTTCAAGGACAATAATGCTGCAGGTACTGCCACCGTCTCATTAGGACAACACTTTTCATCTATTCTCAATCAACACAAAGTCATTTCACTTCTCTACATAACACAAATTGAAACACAAACAAAACAAGTCAAACATGAAATTAAGATAAATGCCAAATGAGAAATAACTGACAAGATAGATAACCAAGGATCATTCAAGTCTAAAGGAACTCCACCAGCTTGAAAAATCCATCCACCACTAAGCTTGGCCGAAACTTGGGTAAAGGAATTCAAAGAGATATACAATTCTCCAAGGAAAATACTATTCATGCAGTATTCATTATCTAATTCATATTATGAAAGAGTGACCTTTAAATAGGGTTTACTAAACATGAGAATTGCCCTAACAAATATTACAAAATCTTTTACAAAATATTAATGGTTAATTCTCCACCATTTTATTACAAAATGCAAACTATACCCATTTAATGCAAATGATAGCCACCCCTTAAATTAAAGATCTATGTCTCTAATTGCATTTTACTTGATTTTCCTTAACCAAATTGAATCAAATAACATCCACACATTGGGTTTGGACCAATTAAGCTTCTCCCCACTTGATCTCCATGGATTGAGCTACACAAAAGGGCTTGTGCCATGTCTTGGACCTTTAACACATCTTGGACAAGTTTGTGAGTTTTCTTGAGTGCTTGAGCCGAATGTTGTCCTCCTTGTAAGGCTTGGGCTCCTTGAATTTTCAATGAACAATCTTGCATGTTTAAAAAACATAATGAGCTTGGATTTTCATCAACTGAATTCAAAGCTTAAGAATCAGAAAAACCTGGTTCTATCATAACTTCTGAATTCCTTGAATTCAGAAATAGTGACTGGTCTTCCATTTTAGAAACATTGCAGAATGACAACTTTCAAATAGGATTCAGTGCACGATCATATTTTGGAAAGAGGACTTAGCCAAATTTATAACAATCTATTGAGTCCTATTAAAGGCCTAATAAACTCTAAAGCTCATTATAGGCCCAAACTCACACTTTCGTCAACCCAGATTATTCAATAATGAAGTGTATTGGGTAATCCTAGAATAATCACATTAAACCTATCAGGATATCTTATTGAACTTGTTGATGCACAATTTAGGCACCAACTAATCGACACGTGCGCAGCGTTGATTGGACAAGAAGCACACGTGAATATGGATTATGAATATGAAATAAATGCAATGAGAGCTTTTAAAGTGGTTCGGATGCTAAGGTAGCAAGTCCTACATCCACTGGTTTGTATTGATATGGTGGGTCAGGTCGCTAAAGCGGACTGACTTACAAATGATTGAAAAGTAAATACAAAGCTTTTAGAGAGAGAGTTCAAATGTAAAAAATGATCGAATCCCCTTAATGGAGGGGTCTTTCTCTTCATATACCCTGTTGTATGCGTATAATCATCATTAAATCCTTGGGTTGGTGTGAATGTGAGGACATAATCTGACTTTACGTCCCATTGCCCACTTCTCAAGCTGATTTCATGCGATTTGGAGCAGGGGAGCGGACATGTGGGAGCTCCAGGACGCTTGACAGGTCTGACGTGTGCTTACCGTTCTGATAGGAGCAGGCCACGTTTCACCACGTGACTCCACGTCAGCCCTTGATTTCCCAGGCATAACAGAATTATTGAATTTTCTCAGTTTTATTGAGCCAAAATATAATTAATGCCCTCTTGGCTTTTGGGCTCGTTATTGACTGCAAAGTCGTGGTTGGAGGTGGATTGTCTTTTTGTTGCAGCCCCTCCCGTTGGGCGAATGCATTTCCCCTATTGACCTTGTACAAAGGTTTTTTGCCTTAGTATATTTTTAGACCCTTGTATAGTTCTTTTCCTTGGCCTGTCCAGGATTTTTGATTGGAGAGGAGTCGTTTCCGTATGTTGCAATCTTTTTCTTTTTATACAATTGTCGAGATTACCCAATATATATATATATAGACTTATGTCTAATGTCATGCACATTCTGAGAAGAATATGAGTAGCTAGCTTGCAAATGTTGAAATCAAGACTAAAACACATAACAGTGAAAGTAGTAGTAACAAAAACAAATCAATTTATCCTTGTTTGTCTCAATGAATGAATTACGTCCAGCATTCAAATAGAATAGTTTTTTTTAGTTTCAAAAACCTGCAAAATAGAATAATATAAATATACATCGAATGTGTTGACATTAACCCCATGCAAAGTACGAACCATATCTAACAATAAATATGTAGATACCGTTACATAATTTCATTAGTCAATATAAAAGAAAAATTAAAAAAAGAACTGTTAAGCATCTACAATTTGCTCTTAACTCCAATCACTACTGACCATGTAATTAATGTTTTAAAGATGAAATCTATTCCAAGAGAAATTTCTATAGAACAGGTAAACGGAATTTTAGATAATAATAAACGATCTTTATTCTATATGCTGACATTTAAATTAAGTTTTGGATCTAAAATATTTCGTAACCATGCACTGAGAAAAGAAAAATGCATATTTACCATCGAGCTTTTAATTTTAAGGCTTTAACTCTTCCAGTACACCATCGTTTTTCCTCGACATAATCCTAAGGCTCTCCATCGATTTGTTCATTTGTTGATTGGTCTGTGGTTTTATAAATTATTATAGGGGCTTTAGTTAGACAATAATTTGATTAAGAAATTAGATTCGGCACAAAAGGCCTATGAACCAAAACCTTTAATTAGGGCAGTTGCTAGTTAGTGTATGTTTATGTATAATAATTAAGGCATATTCCTTCATAAAACTCATCCCTTTATATTAAATTTGTTGTTTCAGGTCAAGTTTGTACGGTCACTCACCGGCTAGCAATCAATAACTTCTATTTCTGAAATTTTCTGGTGAGCGATATTAAAATCTTGGTTAACATCCTTCGGCATAGCATTTAATATGCCCAACTACTATTCATCCAAGCAATAATTTCAATCAACTACCGCACAAAATCCTCTGTATATATAAACACACCATCACTAACCTGCCTGAAACTATCGGAATAATTAGTCTCTCTGGAGTAGTCGAATCAAAACCAGGGTTTCTCTTCATTATGGCGAGCTCTATAGTCCTCAAACTTGCTTGTTTGGTGCTAGTTTGCACAGTGGCGATTGCCCCCCTGGCCACAGCTGATGTAAGCTGTGGGCAGGTGGTGAATGACTTGACCCCATGCATTAACTACGTCTCAAACGGTGGAACAGTGCCTGAAAACTGTTGCAATGGCGTCAAGGCACTGTATCAAGCGGCTCAGACCACGGCAGACCGCCAGAGTGTGTGCAAATGCTTGAAAAATGCAATCAGTGGAATTCCATACACGAACTACAACCTTGGCCTGGCTGCGGGGCTTCCTTCAAAATGCGGCGTTAATCTTCCTTACAAGATCAGTCCCTCTACTGACTGTAGCAGGTATCTTCATCGTCTTCTGTGTGCTTGTGTCTTATATGTGCTAGTTTTGATCACATTTATTATTAGTTCCAGTTTCTGATTTTGTCTGTGGCTATGACTGTTGCAGCGTGAACTAAAATGAGGATGATGATCGAGGAAGCAGCAGTGACAGTGTTTTCCTATGCGTTTAGTTTTAGAATAAGAGGGTATAAGTCCTCCTGGAGCTTCCTGATCATGAGGAAGCTTCAAGTGTGAGATTTAATATGTAGCCTCTCAAGTCTGTCTTGTTTCATATCATCTAGTTCGATCGACTTGTATTTATTGTGTTGTAATGTTGTTTTAATTAGTCAAGTCCGAAAAATCTTAAATTAAATAAGTGTTTAACAAAATACTCTACTCTTTAAACATCCAAAAAGAGACAAACTATTTAAAAGGATAAATCTAATGTATAATTAAAATATGAATGGGATAAAGCTGCATATGCATGAGTTCTGTTTCACGAGAAAAAATAAATAATAATAATATAAAAAAAGATTATAAAACCCTTACGAACAGGGTAAGGCTACACTTATTGATTCTGGATACCAAATGGATATTGACACCATCGGGATAGGGGATTACCCATGTTATACTCTACGTCAGTCAGGATGTCCATTTGGTAGGTAGAATCGGTAAGTTTAGTATTTTTCTTACAAATATCAAACCACAAACCTTAGCATGAAAGTGCAAATATCTCCCTTGTTACATAGAGAAGTTATTTAATTTAGATAATGCGAACTCTAATGTTTAAGCAAAGAAAAAATCTAGAATACAACGGAGATACCACGCTCATTCATATCACCTTCTAGTGGAATCTCTAGTTTTTTTTATCTTCTCTATTAGTTACTTGACATACATACATAAAGTTAGTACTACTCTGTGCTACTATAAACTTTCTCTAAGTGAAACCAATCCTAAACCTCAGCCAATTTATTATCTTTTAAAGATACTGGACTGTAGTTATGGCTAATTACTTATTGTAAGCCTATTCTTTTTCCATACTATATTTGATTACAGTATTGGGCTTAATAAGTTCAGCAAATAAGTTCAGTATCCTTTGAAAACTGTCCACAAAACTAGTTCAGTAGCCCACGATTGACTGAGAAGATTCATAATAAAAAAAAAAAATAGTAAACGATTGTTCCCACCCGAGGTTAAGCGAAATGACAGGTTCCACCCCTAGTTTCTTTTATTTCACATACCCACCCTTAAAGTAACACTGTTAATGACGGTTTGGATTCTAACATACATATATTATATATATATATATATACACACACACACAAATGCTATTACCAAACCACCACCACAGCCCATTCCAAACCACCACTACAACCGGCCAAATCACCCATTTCCAATCCACCACCACGACTGGCCCACCTTAGAAAGCAGCACCCACAGTCCTTTCCAAAATAACACCCACTATGAAGTAAATCAACCCAGCACAAATACATGCAAATAAACCCAAATCCACACCAAAAATGATATGCGATCCGGATGGCTATGAACGTAACTCACACTCATTTACAAGCAGAGATGAAGTTGCCGATGATAGCTTCTTAGTGGCGTTAAACTCAATCAACGGCATTGCTCTAGCAATGCCTTGTCTTCTCTTTACATGAATTGAACAGATGAAAAGCTTCTGGGTGGTTGGGGACTCTTTACGAATAGGGGAGGGGCAGTGGTGAAATGGTTGGTTGAGGACTTTGGCGAATAGGTGCTGGGGGCAGTGCTGGGTTTGGGAAGGTGTGAGGTGTTCGGCAACGATGGGTGGCAGTACGGCTTTTCACCCTAAAAAAAAATAAAAAAAAACCTTAAAAATAACAATCAACAACCAAACTTAAGAAGATGGGATTGCATAAAGTCGGAATCTAGAATTTAGTAAAGGAAATGGAAGAGAGAAAACGAATAAAATGACTATTTTAACTTTCAATGGTTAAAACAAAAGAAACGGTGTTATTTTAAAGATAAAAATATAGAATAAATAAAAGTAAGGGTGAAAACTTGCTAGTACGCTAAACATCGGGTGGGAACATGTTGTTTACTCTATATAAAAACAAAAACAAAAAAAAAAAAAAAAAAGGAGGGCACATGCCGAATGAACTTCATGCGAAAAGTTAAAGCTTTCTTTACTATTTACATGTTCTGAAATAATGTGGTTAGGTAACCTATTGCCATCATCGGTCGCTAGCATGACTCAAGAAAGTGTCGTGTAATCGGTGCAACCGCCAAGAGCTTTATCTTTAAATCCTACCTAATTGTATGGAAAAGTAAAGGGCGTTTGATGTAACATGCATTCAACAAAACCAACCAAGATGGCGCACGTATTATTTGAGGCTTCAATGCAATTCAATGATGTGTAGGTGTAACGTAACCTAAACCAAACCAATACTAGGCCCATCAACGTGTCCCTCCAACTACCACTACTTAACTTGACAGTTCGTTTAAAAATTTTAGGTATAATATTTAAGAAGTTTTGAATTCGAATCCTTACGATTATTAATAAGAAATAATTACTAGAAACTTATCTAGCCGTTAACATCAGGACCTCGAGGAACTAATTAATATGTATGCAAACTGACCTGGATTATAATTCACAAACTTAGATATTAGTGGACCACAAAAAACAGTCCATTGTCCCTTCCCCGCTCCTGTCCTATATGTGCCTGCTTCCCCAATCCCCATTTAAACTATCTGTTCGACCCACTTGACCACCTTTAGTCTTTTTTCAGTTTCCGAAGGGATGTTTGAGTAGTTTGATTGACGTAATTTGATGAAGGTGGGTTTATTTTATAAGAAAGAAACAAGAACTCTACCCGTATACCAGCTGAAGGAATACAGTACGGTTCACCTTTTTGCAGCGAAAAAGTTAGAGAGATATTTTGTGGGCGATATATAATATTGATATTTGATATTGTCTTCGCTTAATCATAGTACTTAACTTATCTCTGCCTAGAATGATGTCCTAAAGTGGGATATTATCGAATAAAATAGCAGCAGTAAAGCTTCCACTACGTTTCAAACCTGCTGCATCATCCATCTGTCTCTAACTTTGGTTTTGGTTCTGATACAACTGTTACAATCAAAATTTAGCCTAGTGGATTTGGTAATTCTAAGCTTTGTGCCATTTATTTATATAAAGTGTTTAATCATGATTAGTTAGGCAAATCTGCCACTAGATTTTCTTAAATATCTTAATTTCTTTGAGACTTGACTGACCCCTTCCGGGGCTACAATCACATTGATATAAATAATCTAGCCTACCTTCCACTACCCCCAACCTGCACCACAAAAGTCACTTTTCTCTAATTTCTCAGGATAATGATAAACTTGAGATATTTTTATCTCCCCTCACCGCCTGCTCATGAATTATAATCAACAGGTAAGACTGAATATTTATACTTCAATTCCATCTGTTTCATTATCTCAATTCCTGATAAAATTTATCCCAGTAGAGAGGGGGAGGACCATTTAGTTGGAATCATGCAGCAAAAGGGTCCCGGATTCCAATAACAGCCACTCAGACAGACAATTTACAACCTTTCTTTTTTTGCTTTGCTCTTATCTTAGAGACAACTATGAGATGCTCTTTGTATCTGTCTCTTTCTAGCCGTGAAGAAAATCGCTTTGAAGCTTTGAGTTGAGCCCTGAAACATAAACAACCACCAAAAATATCTTTCTTACTTCAAACACCAAAACCCCATCAAAACTTTCAGGGTTTTTTGCCCGCTAGTGGTTAAAAAAATCTCGGTGAATATGCCTCGTCGCCTTCTTGAGACAGAGCTCAGTGTGCCGCCGGTTAGTCATGGAATCAACAAAACTAACGATGGGTACATTAACGAGACGAATTTCGACACCAACATGGTCATAATCTTGGCGGCTTTGTTGTGTGCTTTAATTGGAGCACTTGGTTTGAACTCAATAGTTCGTTGCGCTTTGCGTTGTAGTCATAGGTTTGTCATGGAGACACCAGAGCAAGCCGCCACACGTCTCGCCACAACAGGCCTCAAGAAGCGAGATTTACGGCAAATCCCGATTGCTGTTTACGGTGAAGGTGTCAATATTCCGGCCAGCGAGTGTCCAATTTGCCTTGGTGAATTTGTAGATGGTGAAAAAGTTCGGGTTCTGCCAAAATGTAACCATGGGTTCCACGTGAGGTGCATAGACACATGGCTTCTTTCACACTCATCGTGTCCAAACTGTAGACATTCGTTGCTTGAAAGCGCCACAACTACAAGCTCAGCTCCGCCACCTGAATCTCGATTGGCAGCTGCTCAGCAACAGCAAGTGCAAGAGAACAGGGTGGTTGTAGCTGTTAACGAAGCAGCAGGTTAATAATTAATTAAAACTTTAATTACGGTTTTAATTAGTACTTAAACAGTGGTTTTCAGTAGGCCAAAATGGCGGTTGTTGGATGGATTTGATTTTACTACTGGAATTGTTTAATACATGAGATATTTAGTTAATGAAAGAGAAAGACATGAAATTACCAGCACTATGTTTATGGTTGTCCGTTTCCAAATTCCGATCCGATTTTGCATGTGGAATTGTACTAAACCATGTGCAAGTTGCAACATCAATTATTAGGTGTATTTTTTTGGCCCATTTTGGCAATTATTGAGGCAGTAGATTGGATCAATTTTTTTTTTTTTTTTTTTTTTTTTTGGCATTGGTTGCTGACCTTCATGTGAGGCCAAATTTGGTTATGCCATCCATAACTTTGCTGATCTCAGTTTGTCGAGAAAAATATTTATATGGAATGTGTTAATTCTTCGATCAACACTATTGTATTGGGTTTGTTTTAAAATTAAATTTAATTAAAACAGTTTATCATTACATCCATTTCTTATCAAATCTGTTAGGTGTGATTCATACTTTGCACTGGTTAATGCTAATACATTCGAAGTTTCCAATTTCTTGTCAATTAGGAATTGGGTTTAGAATTGTTTTGTAAATATTTAGGCCGGAAGCGTTTGGCCCAAAATGTGATAAAGTTTGCTATTATATGTGTATTGTAATAGTAGAAAAACCTTATGTGAAAAAGGGTGGTTAACCGTTTTTTTTAATCAAACCGGTTTTTCGGTTTGAAAAAATTTTCAAACCAAAACCGAACCGATTTAGAGGGAAAACCGATTTAAAAAAAACAGTTAACCGGTTTTAAACCGATTTTTCCTTTTTTTTTTATTTTTTCCTAAATTAAATTATAAATATAAATAATACATATCCAAATAAAAATTAAAGACTCATACATATTTATTGACCACTACTAACAATATATTAAAAATATTATTATTATTTTATTTAATATATAATAATATTATTATTTTATTTAATATATATATTTGTAAAACCGGTCAAAAAACCGGTTTCAGTTAACAGTTTTTTATTTTTTTTCAAACCGGAAATTTGATTTTTTGAATTTTTCGAACCGTAATTGAACCGTTTTTTCTGTTAACTAGTTTTTTGGTTCGGTTTTTGTATTTTTTTTTATCACCCCTATGAGAAACTATACAGAGAGAGAGAGGAGAGGGAGTATTGTTGTAGTTTTCTGAAACTCAATAAAAAATTTTGTATCTTAACACATAGTTCCTATATTGGAAATGAAGCAGAGTAAATCGATTATTTTCTTCATTTTTTTGTGTGTTTTGGCGATTATTTTTTCAATAAAATCGTCTTGCCACAAAATAGTCAATTTATCACATTTAATAGCATTACAATTCTTAAGGGTATCATTAATTGATCAATAATGATACAAATAAAAGTCCTTGCATAGTCACATTATTATCTTAACTTAATTCTAATAAAATTATTTATAATTTTCTTCATCCAATTTGGAAGTTTTTAGGAAGCCATGACGATGACCAATTTAATGAAATCTTCGAGGCGAAGAAAGGAATCAATCACCTTTTATAGTTGCAACAACTACACGTATTAATGCCATAACTTGGACCATTATCAATTACATATTAATTTTCAAGTTTAAAATCATATACTAAAGAAATTTCTAGAAATATCAATTTTGATCCATAAGCATCAAAGCTATAACTGTGGGTTGAAGTCCTGCACAACTCCCTTGATTCGTCCTTACTGCTGGGTTATCTATGGATGCGTTTTTACTCTCTAATTTTATGTCATAACTATGGGTGCGTTTGGTTTATTATTTTAGATAAGATTTTAGAGATAATATTGGATAGTTGAATAGGGTGATTATTACGAGGTAAAGTTAAAAATTTATAAAAAAACCCTTTAGGTTGGCTAATTTAACTAAACACCCTAATATATAAAATTTTATAAAATGATAAAAACACCCCCACCCACTCACAGTGCCAGATTCCAACCACTACCGCCAGAACTTAGTCGGAATCTGGCGTTACTACACAAATTATGGGATCTGGTCGGACGTGCATCGATCTGGCCGTCAACGGCTGCAAAAGGCCAGATATGACCATCAACGATGATCACAGATATGACCGTCATTGACCATCGAGAGTTGGCCATCGTTGATCAAGCGATTGTCAGATTGACGAATTACCGGCCATTTTCGGTCTTTTTAGGCCGTTGTGATAGATTTCGGCTATCACCGACGGTAGTTATCGGAATCTGGCAACTATGGGTAGGTGGGGGTATTTTTGTTAATTTTTAAACTTTTTTAAGTATTATGAAATTAATAAACTTAAGAGGTCTAAAAGTAATTAAAAAAATATAATAATATTTCTCAAATAATTAAACAAACAAATATTTTGGGAATAAGATTGAGAATATGGATTGAAATATTAAACCAAATGCACCCTATATTATTTCCTTTCATTTCTTAGTAAGAAGACTTGAAATATTGTTATTTAGGCTCTTAACCATGGACCAAATCAAATATTTGCTTAATTATTGTTATTATACTTGTATTACGTTTAATTATTTCCTTAATTATCTCAATGAAAATTTTATTCTATTAAGAGAAAACTATTTAAAAGAGCCGTTTTGTTTTTAACAAGTTAAAATATGATATTTTTTAATTCGTTTAGTAGATAATACATTTCATCCATTTTTGTTCTAATTTTATCTCTGTATAATCTTCAATCTAGTAGCTCTGGCGCTAAAGTCCACGTGACTAGAATATTTTTTTTTTTTTTTTTTTTTAAGGGTGTGTTTGGTAAAGTATTTTGAGTAGTATTTTTGAAAAAGTTAAGTTAAAATTGTTATTACAAGAATAAGGTTTAAAAATTAACAAAAATACTCTTTATATTTGTTAATTTTAGCTAAACACCCCTACAATAAAACATTAAAAATTAATAAAAATACCTCTATCCATCCATTAAATGCTGACAGCCGACCACCACCTCAGGAGGGTCGTCGAAAGTCGGCTGCATGGCACACGATCGACTAAATCTAGTCGGTCGTGCGCCGATCTGACCTTTTCTGTTTTTCGGCCAGATCCACCATGAATTTGGCCGAAAAAGTCCATATTGGTGCACGATGGCCACATCTAGTTGGTCGTATGCCATTCTGACAGATTTCGGTCACCTTTTGACATTGGTGGCCGGTTGTCGGGAATATATGGATAGGTGGGGGTATTTTTATTAATTTATAAACTTTTATCGTGGGGGTGTTTAGTAAATTCCCAAACTTAGGGGGTAAAAAAGATATTTTGAGTTGAATAGAATATGAATAGATTTTGAGAATATTGAAACAAATATGTATTTTAGATAAGATAATATAGGAATCTACCAAACATACGGTAAATTATTCTCCAAATTAGTGTTAGACTTTAAATATCAAAATTTCTATAAACTAAAAAATAAAGAAATTAATTATATTTTATTAACAAAATTAAGAAATAAAATATATTGTTTAAAAAAAAAATAGTAAATGTATATAAGAGTTATTTTAATTTTCTAAAAAAAAGAAATGAAAAAAATGTAGAACATTAGACTTAAGAGTGGTTTACCTCGACTGTTAAAAGTGAAGAGGGTAAAAATTAAAAGAAATTGGATGAAGACTCTTCGTCTACTAAGCTCTCCGGGTTTTAGCTAAGCCTACTCATGGTCATACTAAATGGGGAATGTAAGGGGAGGTCGTTGAAAATTTCTACTAAGTATGGGGTGTTATTGTAAAATATGAAACCTTAAGGAGCTCAAAATGTGAACTCTAATAATAATAGAAACGCAACGGCTAGTAAAGTCTACTCTCGCCAACTCTGCTTTTTTCCCCAAATAATGCAAGCAGAGAAGCAGCAGCAGCCATGGAGAATCAACATTTACGCAAGATCCAAGAACTTCAATTTCAGATTCAAAGCGACAAGATCATTACCCTTTCCCTCCTGGAACTTCCATCGACTCTCCATTTTGTTTAGGATCCGGAGGTACTTCATCCTCCGAGTGAAATCAGAGTCTCCCGATCAACAACGACCAACTCTCAAATCTAGACTCCTCAGAGGTTTCGAAAGGTTTCGTGCTTGTCGGGCCAAGAAACGCTCTTTTGCTGCAAAACAAACCTTAAATCTTCAACCCCCAGAAACCAAATCCTCCATTAATCATTTGAGACGGTTAGCTCATGAGGTATGAATTTAATAAGCTTACCTTCTTTATTGTAATATACTATTCAATTGTTTATTTTGATTTTTTTTTTTTTTTTTGGTTTTTGTAGGAACCAGTTTATATAGGTTCTTTAGTTGTTGGGATTCTTGCATTTCTGTTTCGATCAACGTCTGTGAAAGTTATAAGCTTTGTTATTTTATTAAACTTGACCATGTTGCTGAAGAAACACGTTTGTGGAAGAAGATCCATGGCTGCTTTGGCTTTTCCAGTTCTTTCAACACTGGTTTTTTCAGTGGTGTTTCATCTCATTAGTTTCAGAGATTATGAGAATGCTGGAAATTATATTGCAGAATCTGTTTGGAGGGCGTGGAATTTTCTCTGTAAATCTTCTAGTAACTCATATGGATTACTGTAGATTTTAATTTAACAATAATTATTATTAACAACCAGTAGATTGGATTGAAAAGTTTGCTTTGCTTTATCTTGGCTAACAGTTAGATTCTACCCCTACTTTATATATGTAAAGTAATGTCCTATGTAATTATTTTATTTAACACTTTCCTTTTAATATGTCCTATCTTATTATTTTACAAGATATAATACATTATAAATTCCACTACGACAATTAGACCGTGCTTTTAGAAAAATTAATTAATAAAAAAGTAAAAAAAAAAAAAAAAAAAAAATCAATCTCTCACTCTTCTCTCAACAAAGCCTCTGTTTCATTTCTCATCAAGCAAAGCTTGATCAATTGCTTGATTCAAGCCATAAAGCTTGATTTTGGGTTTAATTGCATAATCACTTCACTTACTTCAAAAACTCTACTTTTACTCGCTAGAAACAGAAACTCTACCAGGTGATCTATTATAGTGTCTGCGTTGCCAAGTCCGTACGGTGATTCTTCAACAATTAGTAATGTAAAATCTTGTGCATTATGCTTTAAACTACCATCAGAGTTAGTTTTTGGGTTTGACCCAGTTGATAGTTAAGCTTTTTTTTTTCAATCAAGTTATGTATGATTCAGTGGAGTTCGATAGCGCCTAATTTTAATTGAATTGAATTGAATCTTGTTTTGGCTTGAGTTCAGTCGGTTCCGTTTATTTATTACTAAAGCTTTTGTGCTTTTGAAACAAAATATGATTAATGCCTTAACGCAGGTGTTTTGGTTTTGTTGATTTGTCTTTGTTTGGAGGTTGTGGATTTTGGTTTTGTTGATTATAATACAATATTACATGAAAGAAAGTAATGATATTACGTCGTCGCAGTAATTTCGCAGTATTTGGCGAATATTTGTCCTTTGTATACACTCTACTAGAGCTCCGTTTCATTTTCCAATTCAGCATATCGGAAATTTGCTCTTAATCTGTCACTATCAAACTTGTTGCTCCGAAATTTCTCTCAAACTCTGTCCTTCTACGAAAATGCCTCGCCGTCATGGTCGCCGGTTTGAATCACGGCCGGTGCAGCCGTCTCCGGTACCGGCTCAGTCATTTCAGCGCGGCGGAGGTGGTGATCGAGGAGGGAGAGGAAGTGGTGGAGGTGCACCTGGTCAAGGCGGTGACAGTAGAGGTTCGTATGCTGGTGCCGCTGACACATTAGTTCCGATACAGGCTCCTCCTCCTCCGGCATCTTCTTCGTCGGCGCCGGCGCCGGCTCCGTCTCATCTGCCTTTGTCTGTTCCTCCTTCTACTACTTCTCTGAGCCAGGAGCTGCAACAGCAGTTGACATTGGGGACCCAGTTCCGGCAGTGGGCCCTGTTTCGTCAAAGGACGTGAGTTTTCCGGCGAGGCCTGGGTTTGGGACACAAGGCTGGAAATGTGTTGTCAGGGCGAATCACTTCATGGTCCAAGTACTGATAAGATATCTATCATTATGATGTAATGAAAACTAAATTCACCATCATTAGTAGATGTTGATTTTTAATTTTATTTTCGATTTTTTATTATTATTTACCATATAGGTGACGATAACTCCTGAGTTATATCAAAAAATCAACAGAGATGTAATTGCTCAGTTGACTCGCATGTACCGTAAAGTCATTTGGGTCAACGAATTCTTGCCTATGATGGCCGAAAAAGCATTTTTACGGCAGGGGCTTTGCCCTTTGATTCAAGAAATTTATTGTGAAGTTAAGTGATAGATGGCAAGGGAACTCTTCTCGGTTGTCCAAGTAATGAATTATTGATTGTTGTCTCTGTTTTATGACTTTCTTCTCATGTTTTTTAATCTTGATGAATTTGTATTTCCAGGGAGGATCGCCATTTCTGGTGGGAATAAAGTTGTTGAAACTGATCTTGTACTCTACAACATTCTAGGGGTATGCATAGGGAGGCTCACAGACATTTACAAGCGCTTGATGTTGTACTTAGATCATCTCCTTCAGAGAAGTATATATCTGCATGGAACTTTATTGTTTCATTGTATTTTTCAAAGTTTATGATGCAGTAAAAGTTAATATGTTTTACTTAATCTTCGGAGAAAATATAGATGAATTTTGTGGTAGTTACTTGGTTGTCGGGGTCATTTTTCTATCCTTCTTTGGGGCCCAAAGGTGACCTTGGAGATGGTGTTGACTATTGGAAAGAACTTAGTCTCTCAGGCCAACCCAGATGGGATTATCACTTATATCGGTATGCTTTATTAGATACAGTTCTGATGCCTACACTTGTGTTTTTGTTATAATGTTGCTTCGTAATTTTTTATGCTTGATCTCGCAGACACTTCAGCACAATCTTTTTATGAGCCAATTCTAGTTACAGACTTTCTTGCCAAGTATTTAATTACAGAGAGCTATCAAGTCCACTATCTGATCAAGATCTATAAAGGTATTGGGCAGTGTGTATATGATGTCTGCTATATTTTTTCATTGCTTTTTAGGAGGTTCATGTATTTAATTTACTAGGTAATCTTTGCATATGTTAGACGTTCCTTATATTAGGAACTGGACTTGTACATTCTTGTAGTTCATTTTAAAATTATTAAATTATTGGTTGGTCTGTATAAGCAGTAATTATGGGGTTGGATTTAAATGTGGTGCAATAGTTATGTGTGTAGGCATAATTTAATAAAATAATAATCATATTAGTTCAATATATACTCCAAATTTAATCTAATGGACCAAAGAAGTTGAAAAATGTCTAGCTGTGTAGTTCTATTCTTATTTCTTCACTTGTTGGTAAGTAGGACTGAATGAGTTTCTTCTTCTTCTTCTATGTGATTTTTAAGGTGAAAAAAGCCTTGAAGGTCAAGGTATTACTTACTCATACTGAAGATGCCAAAAGCTACAAAATCACAGGGTATCTGTTCACCAATTAACCAATTAATGTAAGTTGTATGTGATTTACCCATTTATGATGATATAGAATATAATGTTATTATTTTTTATTTTTTTGTAGAGCTTGTGCATATTTGTAAATGGTACCGTGGAGGAAGGGCAGGGATTATTCTTGTTTCTTTTATTTTGTTTGTGGCAGCCTAATTTGAATCCTGCCCCAATAACTGAATATGAAAATTTCCAAAAAACTTGCCTTTAGCATTGACACTTTGCTTAAGAAAGCTTACTTCAGAAATGATGCCTGAAAAGCTTCTGTGTATGCTTTTACTGTGTCACAAGCTACTATAGTTGTTAACTCTGTACTCTGTGTTTTATAACTCTCTCAATTCTAATTATTAGTAGAAATTGTTTTATTAATTATTACTATGTTGATAACTAAATTATTTTAATTATATGTTTGACAAGCTACTATAGTTGTTAGCCTCTGACTTGTTGCAACCACAACCTTCACAATTCTAATTAGTGTTAGAATTTTTTTTGGTACTACGTTAGACTATATTGTTAGTTACAGAATTTTTACTTTTACGTCGTCACATTTCTGCATCATTAATTTTTAATAAATTGTTTTCTCTAGGTTTACTCTTCATGGCAAAGAGGAAAAATGTCGGTGGTTCAATATTTTCGTGAATACAGATTGGACTCAAATACACTTTTTTGCCTGCCCTTCAAGCTGGGAATGATGCAAATCCTATATATTTGCCCAGGAGGTTTTCCCCTTTCTTATTATATGGTCTTAATAGATTTTTGTGTTTATAACCATTTTTTTTTTACTTAGCCTGGCTATGTAATCTTTATTTTCAGATTATTAGGATAGTTGAAGAACAAAGATGCACAAGAAGCTAAATGAAAGACAATAACTGCCCGTTAAAGGCAACCTGTCAGCGTCCTTTTGATAGGGAGAATAGCATAAAGGAGGTAGAAATTCTTGAAGTCTTTTGTTTCCATTGTAGAGAATGTCCGATCTGATGATTAGTCTATGTTTTTTTTTCTTGTATTTTTCTAATTTTTTCTACCTGAGTGTCTATTTGTTTTGCAGATAGTGAGGAAAAACAATTACAATGGAGATCAATTTGCAAAGGATTTCGGGATTCAAGTGGTGCTGAACTTGCCCAGGTTGATGCTCGAGTCCTGCCTCCACCGATGGTAATTACTCTTTATGTGTTTCTCATGGGGGCAATGAATTCTCTCTAATTCATTTGGCCTAACGTCCTAGCCCATGTTTGCTGCAGCTTAATTATCATGAAAGCAGCCAAGAAGCGTGGTTTACTCCTGCATTAGGGCAGTGGAATATGATTAACAAGGTAAGGTACAGTTATCTGGCTCTGTGGAATAACATGAACAAGAGATTGTGCTATATATTTTCAATTAAGATTGTAATATTATGCACTGCTAGAGATGAAAGTTTCATTGCTGCATGTATAGAATTTTATTGTGGACTTGTTGCTTTTTACAACCGAGGTCCCTTGAATTGGGACTTCTTTCATCATACAACTTGAAATGCTACATAGATTTTTTAATTGTTTTAGTATTGATCCTGTTGCTAATAATTTTTATACTGAACTTGAAGGGCCTTTTGATTGATTTTTGCTACTTAGAATTTCTCTTGTTGTGTGTGCTTGTGAATGTCTCTACTTGATATGCCTTGTGATAAAGCTAATTTTTTATTTTCCACAATATTTGCATCTCAGTAAACTTGTGTAATTTTCTTTTGCAAAAATGGTCAATGGTGGCGGGTTAATTTTGGACATGTGTGACTTTTCCACACTTTGAACCGTGATTTGCCATTCCAATTTTGTGAGGAGTTGTGAATTGTGTATAGGAAGGAAGGGTATGTGTGTCTTTTCTATTGTCAGTCTTTGTTAGTGATTAGTGACATGCTTGCTTCAACTTGTTTTTTTTTTTTTTTTCTTGATTGTATTGTAGAATTCAACCGAACCCTGTAATTCCTATTCATTCGGCTAGCCCAACCAAATTGAGAAGGCTCTCAGAAATATTCACGGGCACTCTACAGCAAAATTGCGAGGAGTTGGCAGCAAGGGAAACAACTTCAGTTGTTAATTATTTTTTACCCGATGCTACTG